TGCCTCATTCACACAAGCACTTTTTTTCCTATGCTCTTTCTATGGAAGTGTTTTCTGTCTAACATTCACACTTTCACACACTACCTGGGTTAGTATATTGCCCAAGAATATTTGTCATGCAGACTTGAGCAGACGGGCATCAAACCACCAACCTTCTGATTAGTATGTGACCTGGTCTACCTTCTGAGCTACAGACCACACAAATATCTAATTACAAGTCTGCTTTTGTATACCTCATGCCTATTGCAGGTTACATTTTAAATATAGTAGTTCTTAGGTGTCTCTCTGCATATGTCACTGCTTAGTATTGACTCTGACCCTTCATTGTACATTTTGGGTAACATGTGCGCCTGTTCCACACTGGACAAAAAGAAACTGAACAGTCTGAAGAATAAAATTAGAGCCCAATAAAGAATTACTAAGACAGCAAGAGAGGAGATTTTTATGATGCTTTTATAAAACAAGGGAAACAAAAAGGTAATAAAGAGATTTTCAGGAGAAATAAATAGAGATAAAATGAGCCATCTGTCACACTTGAATTTGTGTACAAATAGAAAAATATCTTTCCTTGGTTTATGTTTGATTAAGGTTTATTCAGAAAAACCACATGTTTTGACTGAAACTGGCTGAGAATTTAGTTCAGGCGTAAAGAAGCAAAGAAATAAAGTTTCACTTCAGGTGTGGAGTAGTGAAGCCTTTTACTTGCTCACACTGTTTTCTCCATGCTCACGCTGGTCTGAGTGGCGCTAGCGTTGGTGCATGTAGGAACGCTGTACTTGGTGAGGACAGATTTAAACTGCAGCAGCGTGGCGTCGGTTCGAACCCCCGTTGGATCAAAGTGAGTCCGACTCACTCTGAAGCCAGCTTCTGTCAGGTACTGGAGGAACTTGTTCAACCTGTGCACAGAACAAAGTATTTACAGCGAGGTACACTCTGATCCTGACTAGTGTTTGGCCTGTTTTTGTACTTTGGTCATTAGTTTCCTATTTGTTGCAAAGTCACCAAAATGTGAAAATACCTGAATTCTTGAAAGAGTTTGGTAAAGGTCACTCACTTGGGCATATTCATGCCACGAATGCTGTGGCGATGGATGCTGTAGTAGAATGGTGGGTGATCCAGAGCGGCATCAGACTTGAGCTTTTTCACAAAGTTCCCAGATTCATCTGCAATCTTCCTCTTTCCTACGGGAAAATTCAAAATTATACCTCAAC